GCTTTCCAAACTATATAGTTGATGAACAAATAAAATGCTTTCTTAGAAGTCTTAATACCAAGCAAATAGAACATAATACTGCTTCAACTAATCTCAAACATATTAATCTTTTATATTGTTATATCAAATGCATACTAACTATAAACAAGATGAAAATATACTAAAAAAATTAGTAAATATTAATATATCTACAACAGATCCTATCAAAAAAATTAAGTTAATCATATTCTACACTAAATCTAGTATATCCAATTTAACTATTCGCAATGATTCTTCCCTCCTCCCCGTTAGCGATTTGCAAAAAAACAACATCGTTTACAAATTCAAGTGCCCTTTGGGAGATTGTATCCCAATTGGATTAAATAATATTTATTTTGGTCACACCACAAACTCGCTTTCTCGACGCTTGACTCTACATTTGAATGATAACGTCAAATACGACAGGAGAATCCACCATATATATATATATATATATATATATATATATATATATATATATATATATATATATATATATATATATATAGTGGATTCTCGTCGTATTTGACGTTATCATATTTTTAAATAAATAATTATATATATATATATATATATATATATATATATATATATATATAGTTTTAACGTGTGTTATATTTATGGGATAAAGTGCTCACTATCAGAGATAGAGCGTATGTAAATATAAATATAAAAGTGAACATTGACGTCAACACTCAGAGGCGACAGGCAATCGTAAAAAATTGCGTCTACCATGAAACAGCCTGTCGCCTCTGAGTGTTGACTTCAATATTCACTTATATATATATATATATATATATATATATATTGTGTATATTGGCTTGGGGAAGTAGTAAATTTTTGAAGAAAGTTGAGATTAGGAAAAATGGTGCGTAAATTTATATTTTGATAACATTTTTGAATTATGATACTTTGTGTCTTCCATAGATTTTGACTGATCTCTTGAGAGTTTTACGCCGCTTTTTTTTTTTAATCTCACCTTTCTTGAAATAATGACTACTTTCCCAAGCCAACATACACAACTACAAATATGTGGGAAGACCAAAAGAAAACAGCTAAATCCATAACATCACGCCTTTAAGGATGTACAGCGCATACGTCATACCATAACAATTCCATTCACAATCTAAACAATGTTCATTTAAGTAAAAATTCTTGAATATTACTTGCTCACTTTCCTTTCTGTACTCAACAACAAATAATGAAGTAAATGCAGTCTACGAAAATATCATTAAAAATAGTGCATTCAAAAGTTAAAATATATGCAAAAACTAGAAAAGAAAACTAGAAAAAATAATAATATGGGCTTAATCCAGCATACAATAAGAATGTTGATACAAATATAGGAATATTATTAAACAAATAATAATAAAAAGACACAACAAAATACTAAATAGAAACAATAAAAAAAAAGCTAACAAAGGATGGAATTGGAGAAATAAAACCAAATATCCACTACTGGGGAATTGTAGAAATGAAAATATATTATTTAAAGCGAAAGTGACAACAAAAGAGAAAACAGAGATGGGGGAGGAATTACATTGGAACGACTGGGAAATAATTTAAGGAAATATATCTAAACTATTCGCTATCATTCATAGATGAAATATATAGGAATAGCATCATGTTGTAAAATATATATGTGGGAACTAAGAACCTATAAGAGAATGGAATATAATAATAAAATAAAAGGATAGATAAAAACAATTGCAACCTAAACATGGAAGAGAAACTACAAATTTTATAATTTAAGGACGGGAACGATATTATAAATAAAGAATTAAATTAATTCGAACTGTCGGCACGTTGACGCATCTCTTAAAAATAATCTTAAAAAGAGCAATAAATATCAGGAGCGCTATTAAAATAGAAGTCACCCATTTTGAAAAATGGCCCAGCTGGAAACGGCTCTGTAAATAGAACAATAATGTTTACACACACACACATGCATGTTATTGTATATACAGGGTGGCAATAAAATTACTTGCAATAACAATAAAGACAAAGCAATTAATCAAGAATCCAGAAATTCATTATTAAAATGGATCTGGTTAATTCTGGTTAATTACAATAAAATACTATGGTCAACAATAGTAAAATAATTCCTGATACAGTTTGAACTGCAAGCCAGCTGCTTCAGTGCTTTGTTTTTTGTATTATAAGTAACTGTATATTGACTTTATTGCCACCCTGCATATATATTATATATTATATATATATATATATATATATATATATATATATATATATATATATATATATATATATGCGTGTTATTTTATATATGCATATTATTTTATTAATATAAAGTTGTGCACAGTGATTACTGATGATAATAATACTGACATCTCATTTTAACAGATAATTACAGAAAATATCCTGAAATAGTAAAGAGTAGGTTTAATCAATAAAATCGCCATTGGCTTCAATCACGGGCTCCAGAGGAATTCGGAATCTCCTCCAACTCTTCTGGATGGTCTCCTTGTTTAAGTTGGTGAATGTTACCATAATCCTTGCCTTCAGTTCGTCTTTGACGTTTCAGTAAAGTTTTGTTGATTTCTCGCTCAACTGCGCCCCGCACATAATAATCTGTTGCTGTGTTGGGAGTTAGGTGGTCAGATGTAAGGGGTAATGTGGTCGCAGAAATTGTCTGATAGCGATGACTGGGTTCTCCTGCTTGTGTGGCATCGAGCGGAGTCCTGTTTCCAGACATAGGATCTTCCAGCAGTCACCCTCTTGAACCAGGGAAGTACTACCTCATCAAGGCACTTAATGTAGGCCTTTGTGTTGATTCTGAGGCCTTGTGTGAAGATGAATGGGGGCTTAATGTCGCCATCACTAGTAATCACTCAAACACCTTCGCAATTACCAGTATCCTCTGCTTTGTCCTCACATTGACACCAAACACTCTGAAATGTTCGTATTGGATATGGCGTAAATGCCAAGCAGTAAAGCAAGCCGTTTTCAAATTTCTGGCGGAGTGAATTGCGTCATGGTGTTCTTTCTCTTACAGATGGTTCCCAACTGATCTTTCTATACTGTGCAGTCGACACAATAAAAAAAAAAAACAACAAAAAAAAAAAATACAAAAAAAACGCGCATGCGCTGAATTAAAAATATTTAAAAAAAAAACAGGAAATTTAGTACAATTTATTTAATTGCTGAAATTTTAGTTACAGTTATTTGAAACAAAAAAAAACGGTAGAAATTTAGTAACTTAGAACAAAAACACAAGTGTTAGATGTGGTGCTCAAACTAAATAAATTATTTTTTTTTATATGTTAGTTAATTCTTTTTCATCATATAGTAAATCGAAAATGTCTTATTTTTTGTTGGGCATATATTAAATATACATTTATTCATATATGTATATAAATATATAGAGTTGCATCGATAAACAAGCCCTTCTTTGTTTACAGGATTCACTTTTTCTCCTTTGCTTTGTAAACATTATTTATGTAATATCCAATTCGCTTAAGCTAACAAAACAAAAACGGTTTGACAACACCTCAGCTACTTTTGCAGATTTCAGGTAAGTTTACTTGCATCTTCTCGTACTTCATAAAAAAATGAAAATTAAATCAACAAAAATACAAAGCATTGAAACGTTTGAATGAATTAAAAAGAAATTAAAAATGTCAAGAATAATTAACTTATGAGTTAGCGTTGAAATGTTCTGAGTCCTGACCACTTTCTGAGATCGAACCAAATGATAAAACACAAGTATGTTTTTTAAAGAATTTATTCTGAGTCAAGCCGAGAACTTTTCAGCACTAATTCCACGTAATATTTTTCAAATTTTGGATAAACTTTATTCATTATATTTTAGAATAATCGAATTCTGAATCATTCATGCCTATAATCCCCAATTTCAGAAAATCGCGTTGCTATTATAATGGCCCGCTACACGATTCCGAGTCCATACGTTTATTAGGGTTAGCCAGTCCCTTTTGCAGACACCTGCTCAGGCATATTTGTGTCTGTTCAACACTCAAAGTGCCGACCATTGGTTTAAATTTCAAATATACTGAGTGGACCGTAGGTAAAAATTCTGGAAAAGAGCACATAATATGATAATTATTAATGTAACATTAATTATGGTAACATTCACCAAATACTCTTAAATCTTCAGTCAAGATGACTTCGTGCTTGCACAACATTGGAACAGTTCTACCCAATTTTACTCACAATGAGTGGGTCACTCCGGTATTTTCAAAAGGTGTCGCATGCTGCAATCTTTTCTCTCCGGGTCAGTAACAGCAAGAAGTTTCCTTCCTGACAAATCGTCCATAGTGAGATTTGAACCGTGAGTCTTATGGTCGGAAAGCGAACATTTTAACCACTTGGGCACGGACCGAAAATGACCACACCATAATAATGCTTTGTTGCTGCTAAAAGTTAATACTGCACATGCAGATCTTATTTCTATTTAAAAGTGCATATTATACGACAAATATTCTTGAATTTATACATTCCTTTATCGACTTAATTTTTTTTTAAACAAATTTTACATTTGGTTCTGCATACGCGCGAATTGGGATTTTATCCTAATCTACAGTGTTCAGCAAAAGATCATAAATCTCACTTTAGATATTTGTTTATCCAGAGTCAGATTTAATATTTTTATTTAAGAAAATATAGGATATCATCCAACGAGGTTCTGTTAGGCCAGAGGGAAGGGATTTCCCGTCTATATACTGGTTGTTTCTTGATTGACTCGTTTTTTTTTTACGATTTATTAACCCTTTGCGGGTTATTTAAAGCCAAAAAATATTTTTAGATGGTAAGAATGCTATTTTTTAGATAATAAGGATTTTGTGACACAAATAATACTAATTAACCCATAACTGGGGGAGAAGAGGTAAAGTCATATCTTTTCCAAGGGTATTTGCGCGTATGCGAAATATAACGAAACAAACTAAAACTGTCTCTTCGATTAACAATTCCGAGACGTTATACATTTAATCTTCCACATACTCAAGCTTACAACACCTGGTATTCCTAAGCGGTCGCCCACCTAGGTGCTGATCAGGCTCATCGTTTTCTTAACTTCGGTGATCGTACGAGAATCGGTGTCTTAACGTGATATGGTCGTAACCAATTATATGATGGGTAGGGACACCTCGGCGTGGTGTAATGGTTAGCAAGCTTGTCTCGCTAGATCAGTTACGACTAAAAAGTGAGTTCGATCCTCACCAGGTACCCCATACTTTCGGCCTTGTGCCACATCTTAGAAAATAACTATATGATGGGTCGTTGTTATGAACAAATACGTTAACATTTCGTATGAGTGTAATTATTTCGCATACTGCGATACAGTAGTTTCCCTGTCTGGTATTATGTGTCACTCCAACTAACCTACCGTGAATTGTAAGAAGCACTCCCTTTCATGGAAACCAGAAAATCTCCCGAACCCGAAAATGTATCCTTGTGGCCACGAATTGAAATATCCGGCTAATGTTCCTGATACAGAAATTCCCATGAGGAATTTTAAAATGCCAACATTAAAAAAAAAAGAAACCGCTCATTATATAGAAACTATCGTGGCATCTACTTTCCAAGAATCCTTGGCAAAATCTTTGCGCAAATATTACTATATTGACTTCTCCACCTGACAGAAGAGATCCTTCCAGAATCCTAGTGTGGTTTTTGTCCTTCGAAAGGCACTGTCGACATGTTTTTCTTTGTCCGACAGCTCCAGGGAAAGAGTCATGAGCAGCAATTCCACTGATGTTCATCTTCAGAATGTCTTCGGCAAAGTACCAAGACGAGCAATGTGGCCACTCTTGCCAACATTGGCTGTTCGAATCGCTTCATGTCTCTGATCCGTATGCTACACGAGGGAATGAAGGGTTGGATGAACCATCGGGGTGTCTTCTTGGACCCGTTTTCAATCACCGGTGGCCTTAAACCGACGCTTCCATTGTTAGATTCCCCCCATCCCCTCCTACACAACATATAATTCCGTCAACAAACGCATTACTTTTAGTCGTATGAAGTTCTTCTAGAGCACAAATCGCGTTACACAGTTTTTGTTCCAATTTGTCATTCATTTGCTCATCAGATTTATTTAGGTTTTGTAAGATGTTTTCTTGTTGAAAGTAATTTGCGATTTCTGTCGAAATTTCTGGTAGATTAATTTGACTGTAGCCAAACTTTTAGGAGATGTCAGATTTGGTTTGAATTTGAAGCATTGGATTAAGTATAAAGAATATTGTATCTGTCTATATTTACTGATGTCCTCATCTTTGTCGTTACGATCAGAAAATGTTGATATTTTCCCCTACAGCCTTCTTCAGGTGTCTGTCGATCCGATTCAGCTTCATGAAATTTCAAACAGAACGCTTTATTCAATCTACGGACTAAATTGTTTTCATTCTGCTTACCGTAACTTGATTTGTTTATTGGTCACCCTGTTTGCACTGAGCCTGAATTTGGTGACATAACAATTTTAAGTTCAGTCCCTGGCTCGGGTTGTACGGCTATGCTCAGACTAAGACGAAACAATAATGAACTATTAATAAAGACATGGACAATGGGTATGAGAAAAAGTTAACCCGTAGATTCAATAAGTGGTTCAGTTCAGAATACCATGAATGTTAGCCTGATTGAAAGACACCTGAATAATGTCGGAGTGCACAATCACCGAAATCTTGTAATCGGAACAACAAATATTAATCGGTCTGTACATTATGTAAGTAAGTGATTAGCGTGTGTGTGTGTGTGTGTGTTTTATTTCCGTAAAATATGTTCGTATTGACGTAATTTGTATTTCAGTACCGTTTATGGTGAATTTGTTGGTCCGGCGAGGAAGAATGAGAAAAAAGAATAGAAAAGAAGGAATACGGTAATATCAGGGTTTAAAACAACACCCGTTCCAGTAAGTGTGATTTTTCTGCATCGTTAATGTTAAAAAAATACTTATGTCAGTAGGAAGCTTTGTCAATATTTAGATATGCATTCTTGAAGCATTATCGTTTGGCGAAAATGTGAATGAGAAAAGCGCTATAAAAACAGATCCTTAATATTGTTTATACTTGTGAGCATTCATGTTTGTGAAAGGCAGCTGATGCTGCAAAACCATAGGATAATATGCTTTCTGACTTAAATAAAATATCTTATGAAGTGCGAATAGTATTATCTGATATGAACAATTATTGCAGACTGATAAATGGGTGAGATTATTTTCCATTTCTCTTGACGCCACAGAGATCGGTGTTCGGTGTTCTATTTTGGATTGCTGATTTTCAAGGCAAGTATATTTTTCCGGAAGAGAAAATAAGCACACAATATTTTTAATAATTTTCATTTTTTTTCAAAATCTTGTACAGGACCAAGCCAGCTTAATTCGAGGGTAAATTAACTTGACTGTAGCTAGACTTTCAGATTTCAGATTTGGTTTGAATTTGAAGCATTGGATCAAGTATAAAGAATATTTTATCTGTCTATATTTCTGAGGTATTGTAATTATTTACATGATTTACATTGTTTGAACTGTTGTCCTCATCTTTGTTGGCATATTCACGACGTTTCCAAATTCTAATCACCTGAAGAAATCCGGAGTGAACAACGGCCGAAAGGTCGTGAATATGGCAACAAAGATGTGGATAACACTCCGAACAATGTAAATAGTGTGGAAATTGTATCGTCAATAGATATTCTTCTTCTTCTTCTTCTTCTTTGAGCCATGTCTCTTCAGGACATTAGCGATCAATTTCCTCTCCTTTGTAGTTCTTAATAAATTTTGTCTTTTTGTTATCAACCATGAAACCTTCTCCCCCAACCAAATACTCAAGCTCGTTTGGTTTGTTATCAGTTGCTTTCCCATCTTCCTTTTTCCCAATTTGTTCTGATCGGCTTGTTTCACCCCTGTATTCCTTGTCACAACTTCATTCACATTCACACGCAGTCCCTTTTCGGACCACGTTCAAACTAAATCCAAGCAAACATGCTCATGCATTTAAAAATGAATTTAAATAAACTTGTCTAACATTAAAGATATCAAAGACTGGAACTATGCATCCATTATTAGCTGACGGGAATTTTAGTGAATCTGATAATTTCTCGATGAATTGAGAGCATGCTCAAAAATGGCATCGGCGAGACTAGTTCTAATCTCGACAGCGATCGTTTTTGTTAATTTTCTATTAATGAAATCCTGTGAAATGTTCCAGTCCACTTCTTTTTCTAAGTATAAGAGAACTGACAGAGAAGGCTTGACATTAGAGGCTGGGTTGCCAGTTGGTCGAGGAGAACACTGAATCTCAAACCGTAGAGAAGGCAAAAGTAAAAGAACTATAATATCAATAACAATTATGGTAAAACATATTTAAAGAGAAGGAAGCATTGTAATTTTCCCTGGGGCTTTTATCCAAACATTTAATTATTATATTCCTTGGCTTTAGTAAAAGCTAATTTTTAATTTTTCTAAATTCATTCTTGTTAAGACTATATGAAAAAAAAAGAATAATTTTCATTGTTTCCTAATGTTTCATATGCAGATTTTTCTATATTGTATTCGATTAATTTTCATAACAATTAAATTTTAATTTCATCTTCCAGACATGATTTTAAAAAAATAATTGTAGGCGATTTTATTTTATTAGTATTTTATTAGTATTTTATTAGTATAACACCTAACTGATGGTTATTGTAACGTATTTTCGAATGCGCCCCAGTAACTGAACTTGGACAATAACTGCATTTTTCTTATTAAACTGGCACAAAATTTAATTTCTTGTCGAATTATCAACTAAACAATACCAATGCGGATATGTATCCTCGTTGATTTCATTCTTTTTGTTTTAGAAGGGGAAGTATTATTTTTTGCTAGACGATATGATGATGGTGGTTTAATAGAGAGAATGAAAAATTCATGTAACATAGTTTCAATTGAATCCCTTGTTAATGTATTATAATCAATTTAACCGTTTGTCGAAAAAAAAGGATTTTAACAGAGGATAGAAAATGCGACACGAATATGCAAACATGCATTGAACTAACATTCCAAAAGTTAAGCAAGGCACCCAGAAATGGAAAACAAATCGTTATAAAAAAAAGAAAAGAGTGCTGAATTGCTATGTGTTATCAATCTTCATAAGGTAATGAATGCTCGACAATTTTCCCACGGATGAAGAGAAAACTGGAGGCGACAGAAATGTGATTTTACAGAAGGATACTCAAAATTCCATTGATAGAGCGATTAAGCAACAAGGAAGACATGAGGAAAATGACAATATAAAAAAAAAAAATTACTCATAATCAAGAAAAGATTCCTTGGATATGTAATGAGGAAAGGACTCTTTTCTTTTCAAAATGACTATATTGTCAATGTAATAACATTTTAAGCTGAAATTTGTTATTTACTTAAAAAGCCTTTTTTCTATTTTTTCTTTACTATTGTTTACGCTATACAAGACCGAAGAGCCCCTCAAGGTAAACGGTTATGGAATAAGGACGTTCAAGGGAGAAGCAAGCGGTACATATTATGAAGATAAGGGCTAACCCTAAACTCGAAGTGGTTAAGATTGTAGCGAAAGGGGAAACATCCTCTCGGGAGTGTGTTCCAATTTCTGAGTGGAATTTAATTCGTACCAATTCTATACGAATGGAATGAAGATGAGTAGACTCAGTGACCTTGGCATGGTGGGTCCTCGCGGTAAAGATCTAGACTGAAACTGGTGAAATCAAGAAATGTGATTCACCAAAACGTCTGTCATGAAAATAGCGATAGAGTAGCGAAAGGCTAGTAACGTTTCGTCTTTTGCATAGGGGCTGTAGTGTGGAAAACATTTCATCACCCACAAGGCAAATACATTTGAACTCTGTCAAGGCTGGAAATTGAGAATTGTGTAGTCCCAAATAATTTTAAAATATTATGTTACCTCTAAATTTCTTTTCACGTTTGTTATTTTTTTAACCACTTAACCCGAAGCAAGACATTAAAGCCACTAAAACGCAAGGGGTTACTGAGTGTGGGATAATATAAGGAAAGAAAACATTAAGCAGCCAGAACAATAAAAGAATAAGAATTAAGATGACAGAGGATATGGATAGATATTGCATTAAACTTTTTGAAGATCAATGTTCACTGGAAA